AAAAAAAAAAAAAAAAAAAAAAAGACAAACCATAGCTTGGAGGTGATAAACATATCTTCACGCTTAACTACACCATCAGCAAACAACTTCTTCAAGGCTTCACCAATCTACATAAAAAAAATTCTACATCAAGTTATCAGAGAAAGTGTTGAGCACCAAAACATTGTGATTGAAAAAAGAGGCTAAGAATTGAATCACTGAAAGCCTGTTCGTGTACGATTTAAAACTTCTCCATAGAAAACAGAATACTTTTAAATAAATTTTTTTTCTAAATTTATATCCAAACAAATTCTAAATAAATAAATAAAAATAATAATTCTCTTTCACTCCTTTATCAATGGACTAAAACACATAAAATCTATTCCCTTTCACACGCGTCTCAAACCTCAATTTGTACTTAACACTTCCAATTATGTTGTTCTCATCGCATGCCATAAAATAAGTCTCACCTCCTTCTCATTGCCATAGATTTGCGCACAATCTATATGACGATATCCAACCTGCACGGAAATTTGTTACAACAGATTAGGAAATGAACAACAATTAGCAGCGATGGAGAGTGAGAGTGAGTAAAGTTGCAACATTAATCGCAGTGGCTAAGGCATGAGGAACAACGCCGGGTTGAGCGAGCCACGTGCCCAAACCAACGGAAGGTATCTTGGCGCCGGTGTTCAACTCGAAGAATCGGAGACCGTGGCTGGCCATTCTCTACGCTGTGACCGATGAGTCAAATGCGAGTATATATATATATATATATATACGAGGAGGGTTCAAACGACACCGGTATAATTTATACTAAGCGTTATACCGCTCAATAATTTTATATTAAATGTAAATTTTAAAAATCCAACCGTTAAATGATTTCATTTTTATAAAACAAAATTGACGTAATATATATATTTCAAAATATACTAAAATATGAACACTTTGATTACCTTCATATGATCTAAGAGATATGAAGTTATTGAGTGGTGTAACGCTCAGTATAAGTTACACCGATGTCGTTTGAACCTCTATATATATATATAAAGCCTCTTCCTTATGAATGAAATGTTCAGCATTAGGAAGAGGTATCAAGTCTAAAGAAGTCAAAGGATTAAACCCATACACAACCTCAAAAGGAGAAATATTGGTAGTTTTGTGAACTACCCTATTGTAGGAAAATTCAATGTGAGGCAAAAACTCATCCCAAGATTTGTGATTGCCCTTTAGGACTGCCCTAAACATAGTAGACAGAGATCTATTCACTACTTCAGTTTGGCCATCTGTTTGAGGATGGCAAGTAGTTGAAAATAAGAGTTTGGTTCCTAGTCTTGACCATAAGACACGCCAAAAGTGGCTTAGGAACTTAGTATCTCTATCTGAAACTATTGTCCTAGGAAGTCCATGGAGTTTAACCACATCTCTAAAGAAGAGTTTTGCAATGTTGCTTGCATCATCTACTTTGTGGCATGGAATAAAATGAGCCATTTTACTGAAACGGTCCACAACCACAAAGATAGAATCCATTCCCCTTTGGGTTCTAGGTAAACCTAGCACAAAATCCATGCTAATATCTACCCAAGGGGAAGAAGCAACAGGCAAAGGTGTGTATGT